TTTATCCGTAGTTTTTTGTAAGATAAATGACAAAATTTACTTTATGTGTTAAATTTTATATATGTTTGTGTGTGTGTTTGTTTGTATTCTGCTTTGCAGTTTGCACTATTATAAAATTTGCCAACTCATCTGGTTACTTCAGAAATGTCAGAAAAAGAGATCTTTAAAAGCTTTTTCATGAAATATTTTCAATTTTTCCACGTTTTTCGATATTTGATCCTGATTTTTCTTTTAAGAAAAGCATAAATGTCCTTTATGACTAATTTATCATAATATTTAAGTTGTACATCCTTTAAATTATTTTTAATGCTTTTATAGTGATTTAACTTTTCTTTTATCTGTAGTTTTTTGTATGATAAATGACAAAATTTACTTTATGTGTTAAATTTTGTTGCATTAACTTTTTTTTAACCATAAATTCCTTGTGCTTTCACACAGTTATTGTGAAACTGATGGTTTTGTTTGAAATGATCTGCGTCAGAGGTTTCTGTTAGGAAGTGAGAGAGAGAAACTGATGAAGCAGAAACACATCTGGCCGAAAATCATCTCTCTAACTGTAACCATGACAACTATGTGATCATTTCTGATGTTATATATAAATATAGTTTATATTTCAGCTTTTATATGCAATAAAAACAATTTTATTATAGTCCATTCTTTTTCTCTGTGTAATTGTAACAATTATATTTTTTTAATAAACAATATGTTGATTTGTTGTTCAGTTTCATAAAATCAGATAAATCAGTCAGTTTCCATTTTGAGCATTAGTGATTCTCGTGAAAATCTTAAGTGAAATAAATTGGATTTAGACTAGATTTTTTTTTTTTTCCAGTTTTTGTTTTACATATTTCCTTTTTACTTCTCTTTACAGGATTAGCCCTGGTTAAATATTAGCTGTATGCTCTGGACAACTAAATTATTATTGTTTATGTATTTATGTATAAATGTATTTATATATTTATTTATTAATTTATATATTTATTTGTTTTTGTTAAATACAATCTATGTTATATTATATTATATTTAAAAATTTAAATACATTTCTCCTTACATTTGTGGTCTGGCATAAGTGCACAACCGGAACATATTGTTCGTATTCTTTAGTTTTCTCCGGACACATTTATTCGTCGGACCTGGATGTATTTTCTTTTGTTCCAGCTGTTTTTATTTTAAAACCTTTCTATATTATCGGTGACATTGACAAATTTAACTTCACCTATAGTTTATATTTAATATATTTATGTATTCGTGTCTTTTTAATATCGACAATATTCACTGTTTTTACGCAAGAAGTCATGTCCGCGGATCTGCTGCTGTTCCCGTCGCATCCTGCCGGGTCGCTGGGGGTTGTCGGACCCGTGGAGCCTTTTAGCAGCTCCTTGTCAGAGATGGAGACTTTTCGGATGTTCCTGAACGAGCGGATGGCGGCAGCAGTAGAAGATATTCTGGGTGTGTTCGGGGAAACGGTGGCCCGGTACCGGGAGCAGATAGACTGCCAGCAGCGGGAGCTGGAGAGCCTCAGGTCCAGGGAGGTCGAGTGGAGCCGGACTCCAGGTCTGTCAGCTGAGCTACCATAAAAACCATAACAACAATAAACACATGATGTATGCAATGAAATGGTTGTTCGTGGTTTATTTGAACCCCGAGCTCCAAAAGCCATAAACACAAGAGCACTGCAACAAGTTCGTCACTATTTTTCTGACAAATGTAACAAACCCTGATAAGAAAAATCTCCAAATTTAACAGTTTTGTTTGTTTAAAAGCCATAAAATCAGGTTCATCCAACACGAGGAATGGGAAACAGAACTAACATGTGTCCATGTGGTGAACTCCTGCATGGTACTCCCAACTTTTCAGTTCTTGACTCTCAACAAGATTTGTGACACCGACTATTTCTGGATAAAATATTCAACCGTCGCTAATAAGACACTCGTTAACCATGTTCATTCATGACCAGTGGTTTTTATCTTTTGCCAGTGATGGAGAAAGTACTCAAACACTGTACTTAAGTAAAAGTACAAATAAACAGACAAAAATGTACTCTAGTAAAAGTAGAAGTACCACATTAACATTTTTACTTAAGTAAAAGTAAATAAGTACTTGCTTTTAAAATACTTAAAGTATTAAAAGTAAAAGTACTTGCTGAATGTATTACATAATACAATGGTCTACATATCTTTAAGTCTGCCTATCATATGTATATTTTCTGTAATACATTAATAGTGTTGAGCCATTTTAATGAACAAAGCTGCAGATAATACATGATTTTATTGTGTTTACTCTGTGACACATTTCACACTTGGACTTGTGATTCTGTGCAGCAGAATTTCAGGGATGACCTACAGAGTTAAATTCCATTAATCAAAATAAGAAAGAGGAATGATTTTACCTTTGAAAGTTTTTATTTAATACAAATCAAAACCAATGTGTCATTTTAACTGCAGTAAACACATTTAAGTAAAAGTTGTCTGCCTGAAAAAAAGGAGCATTAGACACAACTAAAGGAACAGGCTCTGATCATTTCAACTCCAGTTAAAATACTGTCTATTCAACCTTGTAATGGGTCAATAGTGAAAAATATTTTAACTTCCTGACACCATTTTCAAAACTTGGACCTGAGTGCTGAGACATTTGGAGACATCTCTTGTCTCCTAACATCCCATGAACTGACACATTTTAATATTGCAGTTCTTGTTCAAGTTCAGAAGAAGTTGTTTTCAAAGTTTTCTAAGTCCAGTCTGGCTCTTTTGGGAGAGAGAAGCTGTCCTGTTGTACTGAGCAGTCTTTCAATAAGGCCATGGGTGGCGTGCATCTTCTGACTGACTCTTGCGGTGGAATACATTTTGGGTGTAGTGGTGCTGTGGGTGCACCCAGCTCAGTGACATATATACTAGAATATATGTCATTAGCCCAGCTCTTCTTGAAGGTGGGCCTAACGTTACCTGCCCACTTTGCAGTGATTCAATGGACCAACTCCCCTCTCGCCATTGGTTACTTTCAAAGTAACAAACAAATCAAAAAGCCGCAACATGAATGTAACTTGTAATGCAACGTGTTATAGAAATGTAGTGTAGTAGAAAGTACAGATGTTTGATGTAAAATGTAGTGGAGTAAAAGTATAAAGTACCCACATTTAACTCTACTTAAGTAAAGTACAGATCCATGAAAAATGTACTTAAGTACAGTAACGAAGTATTTGTACTTAGTTACATCCCACCACTGTCTTTTGCTAACAGTTGAGGCTGAACACATTAGAAATCATAGTAAAGGTTCATTTGATTTCAGAAGCAGTTTAATTTTACTCAGAGCTGTTGATGCATTTTAACTGGATTTATAAATAACCCTAAATGTAGGTTTGGACTTCTGTTGTGCAACTTTTCTTGTTTTACAGTTTATAGGGTTTTATTGTTGACTGGTGTTTATAAAGTATTACACTGATTTGTGTGTGTGTGTGTGTGTGTGTGTATTGCTGCCAAATTTCACAAACTGAAGCTTTTGAATCTTAAAGTGGTCATTATCAAACAAATGATGCAGCAAAACTAACAAGATATTTTGTATTTTACCTTAAAATTAAATATATTATTCAAGTGCCTCAAAAAACGGGAGGTTGAGCTATAACTGATATGTCTTCGCACATTTTCCATTATTGATGTGTGTTAAAGCAACTCTTTTTGTTGTTTCTCCTTTTAGACCCTCAGGAGGACTCAACCTGGATAAAAAGGTATCCTGAGCACCAGAGCCCCGATGTCCCTCTGATCCAGACCGATAGTGTTGATAAGACAGATGTAGGCACCCTGGCTGATCTGATTAAAGTAGAAAGTAGTGCTGAAGACTGTGAAGAGTCAAAAATACACAACCCCTATGACTCGGCAGCTGATCCAGAGCTAGACAGAGATAGCCAATTTCAAGTTGAGGATTCAGACTCGGAGGGAAGTGAAGATGGGTGGAGGGAGGCTGCCAGACTCTGGAACCCACAGGAGACAGAAAGCTCCAAAGATCAGAGCTCAGGCGCAGAGTTAAAGAGCCCCGGCAATCTGTCACAGGAGGGGAGACGACTTCCCCACATGTTCACCTGCAAAGTTTGTGGCGAGTCCTTTCACAAGATGCGTGTCCTGCTCGCCCACTCTTCAGCACATCTGGGGGACTGCGGCGTGTGTGGCAAGCAGCTGGAGCCCGCAGAAAGCCTGAAGCTGCACCTGAAAGTCCACAGAGAGACGTCGTTCCGCTGCGGCGTCTGCGGGCAGACTTTCACGCTGCGCGGGAACCTCGGGATTCACATGAGGATCCATTCTGGCGAGCGGCCGTTCAGCTGCACGGTCTGCGGCAAGAGCTTCGGCAGGAGGGCGACGCTGGTGCGGCACGTCCGCAGCCACACGGGCGAGAAGCCGTTTGCCTGCGTGTACTGTGGCCACAGCTTCACGGAGAAGGGGAACCTGACGGTCCATTTACGGACGCACACGGGCGAGAGGCCGTACAGCTGCTCCCTCTGCAGCCGCAGGTTCAGCCAGCTGTCCAGCTTCTACAAGCACCCGTGTCAAAAGAAGGGCCTGATGTGTGTCCCCATCACTGTCGCCTGACGGCAGCAACACGAGAGGAGCTGCTGAACTACACAACCCCCGCCACCCCCCCACCATGAAACTGAGAAAAACAATGAAAATCATCTCAGGCCTGACGTGGTCACGTTTTGAGTTCTTTATGTTCGAATTGTTTGCTTTTTGAATAGTTTAAGATTTTGCTGGACTTTTATCAGAACATGGCGTGCTATTCATGAGCCGTTTGTTCATTCGGGATATTTTTCCGATGCTCAAACGGCAACGTTTTTATTCATGGCTCAAAATACTACAGTCCCCTTGAGTTTACCATTAACAGACCATCAGCATTTTACTTTTAGAGCAAAGCTGGTCACATGTTGTGCTTCTGTAAAGTCCAAAACTGGTGAAATGCTTAAAACAAACATCATTGTCTCTGTGGAGTTTTGAGCTCGGTGGTTAGATGAACTCAAATGCACTTTTTATGTTAACAATAAGCCTAAAGTTTTTTTAATAACTTTGACTTTTTAACAAATATTCTGTTTTTATTCTTGATATTTTATACCATTGTTTAAATCAACACTGTTAAGAACCAAAATACTAAACCTTCTTGTGCTGGGGAATAAATAAATATACACTTTTTAATAGACATTTTAAAAAAAGTTGAATATATAAATTAAGTATTTTCTTTGTTTTCTGGCAGGTCTGAGCTAAACCTTTTTGAATTATCAGAACATAAACATTTAATACAGACTGAATAGTTTAACAATTTCAGCTTTTTATACACTAGTAACTGATTTACCAGTGTATTTGTATAATTTAGTAAATATAAATATGTAGAATCTAACATTTTTCAGTCATGTCATCTGGACAGTTTCTTTTTTTGTGCTAAAACATTTCGCCTTCGATCCAGAAGGCTTCATCAGACAAGGAAACGCACGACGCAAAACTGATTCTTCCCCCAACAGCTTATTCCAAAGTGGAACAAACCAGTTATGTTGGTGCTAAGATGGTCTCTTTGTCACGCCCCCTCCTTTATTGCCAGCCCTCTTCCTTGTTGACAGTCGTGTAAAACTGGTTGAAAACAACAAAGTCCATGCTCAATAATCCAGGTATACAATCCAACATTTTTCAGTCAGGTCATCTGGACCTGACTGAAAATGACAATTATGACCGCCAATGACAATTATGTAGAATCCTTTTTATGAACTACATTAAATCTAAAACAAACAAAAAAAGATTGTAATGGCATAATTGTATTTTTTTAATGCATCTACAGAGAATAGACATTTATTTTCAAAAACAAAACATACATACATGTCAAAACTTACTCAGTTAACCTTTTCTGCTTAACGTGAACTAAATATTTTCTAGAGATTTTTGAAGCTGATCAAAGACTGAAATTCTTGTAACATTTTTATCTGAGCTAAAATCAATTTGGGCTTCCAAGTTAGTGCTACTTTATCAAAACAAACAAAAAAGATATGCGAGATACAAAAACTAATTATTGCGATTAAAAAAAACATCAAAAACATTACACTTGTAAATTTTAAACTTGAAAAAGAAAAATTATCATTTGACAGAACAAAATGTATAAGAAAGAAACGGACATATAATTAAAAATAAATGTTGAAAAACTATTAAAACATAGGAAGTCAAATTGGCATCAAAGTTATTTTAACATTTAAATAAATTTGATATATGACAATTCATCTTAATATATGAATTAAAAAAAAATACTAAACCTAATTTTGTAATAAAAAAGTTCTAAGAGTACCAAAGAAAGAAAATTATTAGTTTACAGTTTTAGATAAGTTAAAAATGAAATAAATTTTAAATTTAAAAGATTTGAGATGAAATTGTTATTAGTCCTCCTGTCCAGTTGGGGGCGCTCATGTTTTACGCAACACTTGTCACTACCCAACTGAGCATGCGCACACCGCAGCACGGAAGTTCACCTGCAACTCGACGCTTTTGTAAACACGCCACCGAACTGCCTCAGTTCCGAGTAAATTTGTCCAGTTTTTTCCTCACGGAGCCACTCGAGCTGCTTCAGAAATGTCTAAAATTGAAATTCTGAGACTTTTGATCAACCAACGGCTCACAGCAGCTGCAGAGGAGATCTTCAGCGTTTTCGGGAGGACCATAGCGGAATATGAGGAGGAGATCTCCCTTTCGAAGCTGGAGATTGACCGCCAGCGCCGCCTGCTGGAGCTCTCCATGAAGCCGATGATTTCTCTGCAGCATGACAGCTCAGGTTAGGTTTTGTGATCGTAAAGTTTCTCTCAGTAGATAAATGCACCTCCTTTGGTTTAATATAAAACGGGGGTGTGGGCACATACATGTAACATCAACGTGTACTATTAGTTTAAAATACGAAATGTTTGTGCGTACCTAAAGTTCAGTAAACTGTATTCACGGGACATCAACAGACCATTAGCAAAACTCAACAAAATATACATAGACCTTAATAAAAATTAAAGGAGCAAAATAATCAAATCAAAATAAACTCAGGCATTTAAAAAATATTATTTGCTTTCAAATTGGTGGAAAGTTTAGCTTGAGTGCATATATTGTTTAAATTTAATTAGAACACCAGGCTCTTTTAAGAATGAGTTTATGGCTTGGATGATTAATTCAATTCAGTTTATTAATATAACGCTGCGTCACAACAGAAGTCGTCTCAGGGAACAGAAACATTCATATACATAAAAAGCAACACTATTTATCTGATGAACGACTTGCAAATAAATGATGAATTTCTGTGGATTTATTTATTTATTTTTTTTACATTGCTGAAGGCCAAACAGAACATGTTTACAGAGAAGATTTAAGTTTGGGCATATAGTCAGAAAAATGTTGCCCTAACACTTAGGAATGATGACACAGCCAGATCAAATGAGGGACAGGTTCTCAGGAACGATCACAGAAAATACCTTTTATATGAATGTTACATTTGAACTCCTTAAGGCGATTTGTTTCACATGACATCCTGTGGGCTTGAAGACACTTCTTTTACCTTATTAGTAAATAGAAAATGTCTCAGCAAAGGCTTCACTCTTCACATCAGTCACAAAATAAAGTATGAAATGACAGAGTTATGGTAACTTCCTCCTGAAAGAGAGATTTATTTGGTTAAAAAACATAAAGAAAGTTGAGACATTTTGCCTACAAGTTTATAAATGTAACGAAACACGCCCGATGACAACTAACTCTTAGTATTTGTTTGAATAGCGTACAGATTTAGGACGAAAAGGCACCAAAAACGTTCGCATGTTCTCAATATAGTATAAAAGTTCTATGTATCAAAGTAGACTACCATTATTGTTAAATGATTGATCTTCCAGAATATTATGTCTAATTCAAGTCCAAAGCAAATCAAGTTTTCTGCTTGAACAAAATGTATTTAATAAACTTGTAGATTAGTGACTATAAGAAGAACTGACAGTGAAAATCTAATTATTCCTGTACAGTAGTCCCTCGTTTATCGCAGTCCCTCGTTTATCGCAGGGGAGCGTACCCTGAAGACCTGCGATAAGAGAAAAACTGTGAAGTAGGGATAGTAGCACAAGTTGTAAGTAGTAGTTTATTTTAGTATTTATGTATAGTTAGATATATATTTAGGGATTTTAAACCCTTCACACTCTTGCAATATTCTAAACAATGTTTCTAAACGCTCTAAAAGCACAGAATGTCATGGTTTCAGCTCCCTGCCTCATCTGCTCTGTGCCACCTGCGAGCGATCTCGGCCACGCCCACTTCTCCATTCTGCACGGAGATCAGCTGATCAGCTGCAGCAGGAAGCTTGTCCTGCAGTGTGGGCTGCACAGAGGTGCTAAATAATGTAAAATAATTAATTTTAAATAAAAAAAATAATGCCGATCGTGCAGCTCGTCAGCCAATTGTGTGTCATGTCCAATCTGATTTTGAAAAACCGTGATGGAGTGAGTCGCGAAAAACGAACCGCAAAGTAGTGAGGGACTATAAACGTGTATTCTTTTAGAATAGAAATTATAATTTTAAATTTTCTTGTTTTCATGTTGTTGTTGTTGTTTCCTTTAATTTGTTAATCCTCTCAGACCTTTTACAAAACATGACTGGTTTATAAAAAATTCTACTTACTGGTTTGTAAAACTCGTAGTTGTTGAAAACAAATATTTGTTTAGATTTTTCCACGTGACTTTAGCACAGTTCTGTTAAAACCAGTGAAGCTAAATGTTTCCACAGGGAGAGAATATTCTTCCTAATGAGCGGCTGTAAATTTTTACGAGCTCGAACCAAAAGTCACTGATTCTGTTTTGATTCTGGTTGACAGCCGCTCCTGAGCAGCAGCTGAGCTCCAGCTTGGATCAGAACGAAGTGGAACCTTCTTGTGTCAAAATGGAGGAGCAGGATCTTCTGATCGACCAACAAGAAGGTGCGCCTCAGATGTCGGAGCAGAACGATGTCAGTTTTGTGTTGTACCAGAGCAGCGCGGCGAGGAAGCAGCAGGACAGCAGCCACAGGGCGTCCTCAGCCTCGAGGTTCTTGAGCCAAGACCTGCAGGACTCCGAGTTTCAGCGGCAGCCCGGCACCTCGGTGCATGATCTGGGCTCGGACCTGAACGAGGATGAACCTGGAATGTGCGAGGCAGCTTTAGGAATCAGCCACTTTGACTACGGGGACCTGGAAGCTCCGCCTCCGGACGGTGCGGACACGTACATCTGCTCCATCTGTGGCCAGGCGTTCGCTCAGCGCAGCCACTGGGCCAAACACGTGCGGTCGCACCGGAAGGACGACGCGACGGCCGACAAGTCGTTCACGTGCAACATTTGTGGAAAGAGACTGACGCGGTTCGACGGCTACCAGAAGCACCTGCGGGTGCACACGGGCGAGAAGCCGTACTGCTGCGGCGTGTGCGGCCGCAGGTTCAGCGACAACTCGAACTACAAGCGGCACATGCGCAAACACGCAGCGGGACAGAGGTCCCAGCAGAGCTGAGGCTGCGGGACGAGACCCAACACGAGGGCGACTAGTGTTCAGTAGGATGTTAAAATACAGTAGTCCCTCGTTTATCATGGGGGTTAGGTTCAGGACCCCCCGCTATACGTGAAAAACCATAAAGTAGGAACCTATATTTCTTTATTTAACACTTAAGTTAAACTGACATTGATTTCTGATTTTAAACACCGTATTTTTCGGAATATAAGGCGCATTAAGCGAAACAAGTCAGACGAGTCAAACTTTATTCAACTCATTCACAATAACCACATAAAATCAGTTCGAGGTCAGTAAACGCAACCAGAGTTAATAATTAATGCAGACCGGATTATAAGGCTCACTGTTGATTTTTGAGAAAATTAAAGGATTTAGCTTAGCTGCTTTGAACGATCCAAAAACGCAATGTTGGACGGTTAAAACAGATTTTAAAGAGAAAGGGAGCGGTCAGTGAAGAACACCGGAGTTGAGCTTTTTGTCATCCAGTGTCTTCAGTAGAAAGAGACGGGAAGAAACGATAAAGCCGATAAATGAAAACGAGGTCGATGATTTTCATTCATCATGCGATTAATTGATTTATTGTTTATCGCGACAGGCCTACTCTAAACTCTTAAACCGACATTATTGTAACTGCACAGCACTGCAACATTTTACTCACCAGCTCTGCAGAAACAGCGACCCGGTTCCGGTCCGATTGAGTCCAAATATAGATTTAAAAAGTCCCGGTGGAACCCCTACGGTTGGCATGTAGGGAGTTCTCTTGGGCCAGCTAGCAGCTCTTGGGTTCACCGATGAGTCTGGGGGTTCAGTTCTGCTTTGGTTCTGGTCCGGTTCTGTGTAGTCCAGAACCGAAGTGCATTTTTCGGGGGGGGGCGGACCTTCGGGTGGCCGGTGCGGGACCGGTGGTCCGATAAAGGGATGAAAAAAGTCCCGGTGGGCTCCGGAGAGAGGCCAAAGCTACAGCGGCGAGTCCCCGCTCGGAAGTCCTCGTGGACCAGTTAGCAGCTCTCGGATTCGCCGATGGGTCTGGAGGTTTGGTTCTGGTCCAGTTCCCAGACGATTCCATGCATCTGCATCCACTGGCGCCGAAGTCGCTATGAATATGGACCGAACTGTTTCAGATCAGATCAAAACTTTCCCTCTAGGATTTCAGCTGAAGGAAACAAGTTTCTGGGTGGAGCCCTGTTGGCTTCTGGGAAATGTAGTTGTTTTGAGCGGCGATACAGTGTAGGCTTATTGAGAGAAAACTACAAAAATGGCAGCACCTGTCCAAAGTATTTTATTTTTTGTTAACTTTTTATTGTACTGTATCCAGTACTGTCCCAATCACGTGAGTAATATTAAATTTGACAATAGTGTGTCGTGTACATTTTTTCTTCTCTTGTACAATCTTACTTTAAAAAACCGTGAAGTAGCGAGGGACTACTGTACACTCTGCTTTGAAACAACAACTCTATATGGACACTAACCTTCTGAAAAACTTTTTTTATTCATCTGAATATTGGCAAGAATGAAAAGACGAGTAATGCACTTTTGTATAATTTATATCTAAAGAGTTTTCTGTTTCTGAGAACACTGGGGACCGTGGTAGCTCAGCGGTCTGTGAGGCTGCAGGCTCAAACCCAGTTAGCATCAGGAAATCCATCTGGTGTCAAACCTTGGCTGTGGTGACCCCTGCAGAGGGCAATGCAGGAAAAAACATCCGGTGCACCAAATCTCTTCCTGCTCGTCTGCGACTTATAATTTTTTATAGCTGGAAGTTTTTTAATTAAAATCTTTTTCGCCTGCTGTGTTTTTGTTTAATTGACAAAAATGAACTCGTATGAATGCAACTCCTCAGAAAGTCAAGAGTAAAGATGTTTTAAGAACTGTGTGACATTTATTAAAGTAATGAAATGATTAGTTTAGCCTCGGGCTCCCCAGCGCTGGAGCGATGTTTGCTTCCAGCTGCCTACAGCTGTTTCCCAGTCTGGATCTTAGTCTGCAGATTTTCTTCACTCAGTCGTGGCTTTTCTTCAGATTCTCTGCTTTTAAATGTATTTTACGTGATTTATGTGAATGTTTATGAAACATTTACACGTTTATGATCCATTTATTGACGTACTTTTTCGGCTTCATCTACAACTTCTACAATTTTTATGCTTTTTCAACAAACAAGTCAAAGCGTTCAGCTCTTTCAGGACGATCCTGCTGTGACTTTTGGTGTTGCTGCAACTTTAGCTTTTTGAAATATTTAGCCTTTTCTGCTTTTTTTTTCCGTAGAAAATGAATTGAACTCATTTTACATCCTTCAAATCTTTAGATGTGTTTACAACCTTTTACTGCTGCTTTCACATTTTCTTCTGCTTCAGCTTCTTTGTGCAACTTAAATTTTTTTTCAGCTAATTTCAGCTGTTTTTGTCCACTTGTTTTGTGCTCCTTTCAGATTCTTTTTGCTAACGAAAACATTTTTGTGCCATAACTTCTTTCTGCTAATTTCAGCTTATTGTGCTTCTTTCAGCTTAATTCTGCAAGTTTTAGCTTTTTTGTGCTATTTCAGCTATATTTAGCTGTTTTGTGCTCATTTTAGATTTTTCATCTAATTCCACATTTGTTGCACTCATTTAAACTTTTTTAGCCTAATTCAGCAAAAATGTGCTCTTTCTACTTTCTTCTGGTAATTTAAGTTTTCTGAATTTTTTTAGCTGCTTTTCAGCAGGTTTTGGCTGATTTAAACTTTTTTTTACACAATTTCCATTTTCTGCATAAATGGGCAAACATGTTATTTCTGCTTTCTTCTGCTAATTTAAGTTTGTTCTACATTTTCAGCTAACTTTTTTCACATTTTTTAGCTAATTTAAGCTGTTTTCAAATGAATTCAAGTTTGTCATGCTTTCAACATAATTAATGTTCCTTTCATCTTTTTCTGCTAATTTAAGCTTTGCCTGCTAGTTCAGTTACTATTTAGCTGGTTTGTGCTAATTTTAGCCTTTTTAGCTAATTCCACATTTTTTTTTTAGCTCATTTCAGCTTTTTCTTCTTCCTTCTGGTAGCTTGTGCTGCATTTCTGCAGCTACTTTTCAACTATTTTTTTTTTTTTTTCATATTTCACCTTTTTTTTTTTACAGATATTTTGTTAATTTTTGTGCACATTTATACCTAATTTCTTCTGCTAATTTAGGCTTTTTCTTTCATTTCATCTACAATTCATCTTGTTTTTTTCAGCAGGCTCTTCTGCAATAAGCATTCTCACTGCGTTTTCACAGGAATAGATTTCAGTTCTGTAACAGCAGCCTGTCAACGTGAACTTTTATCTCTCGCTTGGTGATTTAATAAATCTCAACAATGTGAAATAACAAAACATAAAAATAGATTTAGTTCTGAGGGCTTGAACTGCTTATTTTAAACCAGAAGGTGGCACCGTAATACTGTAGCTTCGTATGTGGATGAACATTATTCAGGGGTGGAAAACAAACATTTGGATTTAAAGTTTTTATTTTTTTTCATACTAAGTTGATGATTAAGACGTGCATGCTCTCATGCATCTGTTGACGCCCACCCAGTCAATAACATCTGGACTTGGACAGTCTGGTTAATGCTTCAACACTTTCATTGCCCTCAAAATTATTTTCAAAGAATAAAAAAAAAGAAGCATATTATCAAATAAAAAGCATCAGAACATCTTAAAACCTTTCATCATTTGTCTCCTTTAGGAATCACTGCGTCTGTAACGTTTAAATAATTTCTTAAACATCTTTTTCTGAGGTACAAATGTTCCTTTTGTCCATTCCCACACTGTTGTCTTATTAGAGCTCACCTGGTGACATGTGGATGCTCGTGGAGAACCCCTGACTCACTGAAAGGACTCGTAGCTTCACCGGGACATTTGGACGACTGCCTAGAACTACTCAAAGAGCTAATGATCCGCTAAAGGACTAATGGAATGGTTAGTTAAGGACTCTTGAAACCGTCTCGGTGAGTGAAAGGTTCCTACCCGGGGACTTCTGAAACTCCACAAAGAGCTAAACTAATTAGAGGAGTCACTTTAAGAGACTTGTTTTGCATTTGGGGCTCCTGAGAACTCACGTGGATCCTCTGAAGTCATGAAGTCCTGGAACCTTGACAAAGAATTCAACTCATCCTTCGTTCTCCAGTTTTTACATAAACTATGAGTATAGTTTAAATCAGTGGATATTTTAGCCTCTTTTGGGGGGTGCTCAAGCACCCCTAAATTTGAACTCTGCACCCCCTGAAAAACAAAGTAAAATATATATTTTTTTAATTTTTTGCTGGTTCTGGGTATTGTGTTCCATTTATTGCATTTATTATTCAATGCAAAAAAAATTAAATAAAATGTAACGATCATGTAATACTTGGTTTATTTACATAATAACTTTAATCGCTGGATGTTCGGCCCCTGAGCTGCAGTAACTGTGGCCCCCTGAGCAGTTTAGTTGAATAATCCTGATTTAGAGGGTGAAATACAGTTTATTCCATTTCCAAATCCTAAACTGAGTCTGGAAAAATGTAAAAGTTGGATAAAGGCCAGCGGCCGACCTCGCGAGCAGCCGAATACAACGGTGATAAACAGGAAGTGCCACATGTTCATCTGTACGAAGGGAACTGCTTAATGGTTCAATTAACAGTTAACGCTTGAAGCTAGCTGTGCTTTGTTTGTGTTTTAAATGTAGATGTAACTCCTGGTTGCACAAGTTTAGTCTTTGTTTGCTATAATCAGTTAACTTATTTTGTACAAAGCGATTATTAGGTTTTCTAACAGTGCTACGTCTGTAGCATCTTAGCTAGCACGTCTGTATTGCACGCCGCTAGCTTAGCACTACGTCTTGTACCATGCGCTCTAAAATAGTTATTGAATCAAGAATTTACATATGGAGGTAAATCTGCTGCATTCATTCATACCCATCTGCTCAACACAGACTCATGTTCGGGCTGCTGTTGTTACGCTGTATTGTTTTACATTATTAGTGTTTCGTCAATGTATATCTTGGATATTTTAGCGTACCGTTTGGCGTTCGTTTGGTGTATTTTTGTGTGTGTATCTCAGATTCTTATATACTGCTTCTTTTAACACTTTACATTTTTGCCTTTTTTGGGTGTAACTGGGACCCTGTGTCCATAATTGTGTTCAACCTCATGTACCACATGAGAATGACCAGCTTGACTTGAACTAAAATACACCAGAATGCATGAAATGGCATCTACTTTATTCAAAATGCAAAATGTTCTGGAGGAGGTGAGTGTAGGTCTTGAATGTCTCAGACCCCCCCCCCCCCCCCCCCCCCCCAAAACATACACATTATGAATGCTTCTGATGCCAATGGCCACCACGTTGTTCAAGCCAAGAGCCATTGTCAGCACTGGGGGCTCAGCACCCGTAAAGG